GAATTAACTCCCATAGGCAATGTTTTGTCCTCAGCTGCACTTAAGGAAAACCTTATGCTCATCATGGGAGCTGTTTGTTCAGTACCTGCCAGGGTATGGTGAACAGCTCTGCTGATTAATTTTAGAGTGTATTTTGTCAGCACCTCTGACAGAATATGCAGCAGACAGAGCTGCTCACACAGAAGGTGCCATTTCTAGTCAAGCCCTATCTCAAAGCACATCACACCATGTGCCTGACTTATCACTGCTGTTTATCTTATCTGCCTACTGCACAATCAGTGGAAAACTCTGCACACAGCTCTGAGCACTGCTCAGCTCCCTGGCACTTGACAAGTTTCTCTGCATTTCTAAGCACAAGTTCTGCCTGTGATACCAAGAAAACCAACTTTCCCAGCTTTCCTACTCCTACACGACATCCCGCTTTGTAAGACCCAGAGCAAAGAATGCATCCAAATATTTCTGCAAAGGGCAGGTGAAATATTCTTCTCCACCAGTCTTGCACCAGGTACCTGACATCTAGCTGCTGAGCCCAAGGACTGCCATGCCTGGAAACAGAGGGAGCACCATGAGAAAGATGAAAGGAGGTGCTGGTGTACCGAGTGTTCAGGAAGACTTGTCCAGCCAGCAATCAGACTAGTCTGATTGTTTCACTTGGCACTAAACTCTAAAAGGAAACTCTTGTAGGATGCCTCTCCAACCCTGACCTGCTATATTGCTATCATGTTGCATCTTACACCAACGGTGCTGAAAAAGGGGAGAGTTTTAAGAGGAGGCAGCTCAGCTCAAAGCATTTGCCCTGAGGCAGGAGATTCCCTTCCCACTGCCACATGTCCCCAGCGACCTGCCAGTTGTCACCGTGTTCCCTGGTTCACATGTACTGAGACATATGGCCAAGGCCATCTTCTCATCTTAGCTTAGTTGGCAGATTAGGGCTCAACGCCAAGTTACCACAGTTCACCAAGTTTCCATGAGTCAGCTGAGACAAGGTTCTGCCCACAGCAAATGCAAGGTAATGAGACTTAACCTGATCTGCAGTGAAAGAAAATCAAGCTAAGCCGCATTACTGCACTTTTGCCATCAGTGAAGTCCTGGGGCTCATCCCCCAGGGGCACTGTTCAAACCACAGGGATTTGGTCATGTGTGACTACTTCCTGTGCTGGTGTACAGTATTTCTGCACACAGAGCTCATCCAGCTATGAAATGTACACACTTCTGACTTAGGGTTTTAGGCAGCAGAAAATGTGGAGGTCATGCCTTATAACACAGAGCAACAAAGAATGCCCCAAGAAAAAGATAAAAATCCTACAAGCTCCTAAGAACGGCAAGGGAAGAGCATAGCTCTAGGTACCTCAGAAACATCACTGAACTGTGAACTGACATAGCTTTAAAAAATAATGTTGAAACATAAATATTCTTCAGTCCCTCTCAAACTCTAAGTGCTTACAAGAACACGTGTGCTGGTTTTAAAAGGGTTGTGTTCCCTTTTCCTTTCCCAAAGCACCCTAAAACAAAGAGAGTATTGCAAAACTCACAAGTCATAGTCCTCACTTCACATCTTCTGGCCCAGAGTTTGACAAGCTGACTGAGAATGCCAGATAAATGGGACTGGCATTTTCCATGAGATACACTCATTAATTCCTTTGGACAACACAGGAGTGTTGATGATGATGGGTGATCATCACAGGATGATGGTGATTAGCAAACCCACCTGAGAAAATCCTCTTAGATTTTAAACTTCATTTGAGGAGTGAACGCTGCCGGTTGCACATGCAAGTAAAACTAAAGAATGCATCTACAAAACTGAGAAGTGATATGAAATAGTATGTGCTGTCTCCATCCTTCCTGTGTGGAGATACTGCTAATGAATCACTCAAAAGTCTGGCTTACTGTGCTATTTTATACTGCATACACCACTTCGCCTTCAAAAGCTTTATGAAGGCAATTATTATTACAAATGCAAATGACAGCAAAGCAGAAAATTTCAATCTCAGGTACAGCACACCACTGCTGTCCTGCTGATTTGAGGTCTGCAGATGTTCCTATCACAACTGCAGCTACGAATCACTCTTTAAGTACATGCAGAGACAGAAAAAGAAAGGGATAGTTAATAATTTAAAATAATACCAATCATCAGTGGCAGTCAGGTAAAAGAATAACCCTAGCTCACTCTGTAAATGTTTATACAATAGCCTTATCTGCAGCTATATCCTCTGCAGCTGTAAGCTAGTTCTTATTATTCCAAATTTTGTGAACTGTGGGAAGCATTAGATCTCTGCTGGGGTCACAGCACAACGTGTGCTTTCAAACTCGTGTTGTATGGGAGTAACACAGGAGGTGAGCCTGGCCCCAACACCCCAAAACTACTGAGCAAAAACAAACTGAGAGATTAGGTTCTGAGCCAGAAGTGTCTTGTAAAATGAAGAAGAGGTGGTATACACTTAAAGAAAAGGCAACATTTTAAAATGTCACATGCAACTGCTTTCACAGCATTAGGAAGAAGATGGAACCGTAGGAGGTATCCGAGTTCACCTTCAGTAAATGCCAGCTTCCACAGGCCTGGGCTGCTTTGGACACAGGTGCCTGTGCTGAGCCAGGAGGTTGGAAGTTCAGCAGGGATCCTCTGGTGTCACCTTGTCCTGCTCATGCAGGGGTGGTGATGGAGCACCCCCGGAGAGGCTGGGCTGTGGCACAGGTCATTCCCATCTGGCAGAAGGATGTGCTGATCAGTGTGTGCCCACTGACCTTCCTCCAGCAATCCCCAGCAGTCTGGCCAGGCTTCTTCTGCTGAAAAACAACCCTCAAGTACATAACTTCCAAAATCCATGAGGTAATGGACATGAAGAGAGGGCCAGAACCTCTCTAGGTAACACAGAAAATTACCTTGAAGAAGGTAGGCACAGACTATCCCTTGAAGGGTTAGATTTGTGCACATGGTGTCTAATTAGGGTTTGGGAGAAGGAGACAGGGAATATTTTCATCAGCCAGAAGAATTGGTGCAAAACTTGCTAGTGTTGCTCATAACACCTGAAAGTGCTGTGTATTAAAATCTCTTTGTACCTGTGGTTGGGCCCTCTTTGCTTTTTTATTTCCCCACACTCATCTCAGCTCAGTATTTTGATGAATGTAATGGAAATATATCATCAATTGGATTTTTGTGATTGTTTGAGACAGAGATGTGTGCTTGAAGACATTGTCATTAGCCACTCATAAAAATTTTAGTACTACTAATCAACAATGTTATTTTCAATTTAATTTTATTTTCTTCTAAAATGCTTTGCCCTTAACACCTAGCAAAGCAAATGGTATGGAAAAATTAAGTATAGGATTGCTTCTGTCAGTTATTGTACATGCTAGCTAGTGTTCCATAGAAGATTATTTATGCTCAACTACTTATTCGTGACTTCTAATTAGTACTTAGCTAATCATCACCTGCAAAGCAGACTTCTTTTACTTGGTTTATTTTAAATTAAGGCTACTGGGGATTAGCATCTACAAGGTCACTTGACAAAATGCCAACTTTGCCTATCAGACAAAGGTTACTCTAATGAGCTCATGAATTCCCAACACCGTGCTGCTGCCTGCATGGGTAGCTCTCCGGCAGGATCACAAAGCAGACTTCAGCTAATGAGTGATTAATGCCAATTTAGTCAGCATAATGCCTCCTGTTGCTAAAGCTTTTCCAGCTTTTCTTTTGCACTTGTAAAGTCCCTAAGAAATCCCACATGTGTGTACTAGCTTTGCATACAGCAACTTTGACCAAAGGACAAAATTTTGCAGCAGCAAATTTCAGAACTCCTGCACCTGGGCAGAAAGATAAACATTCAACATTTCTCTCAAGAGCTGATCTTTTTTTGTTTTAATTTTTATATATATAAATATATCATAAAGCGTACCATTTCCTCATTTCAGTACAGATTTTTTTTAACTTTACTAAAATAAATGAAATATAAATGCTACAATTTTATGTTTAAAACAAGTTTTGATGACAGCTTTCCCCTAAGAGCAGGTCCAGAAACTCTGGTAGCTACATGGAGAGAGACAAAATCACCCCCAAAACTACCTGCTATGCAAGAGCATTGAGAACAGCAGATGTGCCTTAGCTGGAGCTGCTTGCAGGTGTCTGTGAGTTCCTCACGTGAATGCCCACTCTCCCAAGTAGCAACTGCTTTATTACTAACCTGAAAATTTCACATTCAACATGTATCTCCCTTAAATTCATTGTCAAGACCCAGCTTTTCATATCTGTGTCTGCTTTTGCTGATCCCAAACAGCAAGAGGTATTGTCAGTTGTGGATTTGGAGACCAGGATTGCAAATTGCTGAATTTTCAGATAAAGCCATATGACTTCAACCACTGTAAACCTAGTAAAAAAATGTCAATCTTCATTTTGTCCCTTCTTCACAACCTGGAAAGTGTTCACAGCCTTGAAACAATGAGGCGTAGGAATGGATGATACACACCACACATGTTTTGCATTTTCATACTTCTTCCCAGTCCTGTCTTTGATCTGAACTGGTGCCTCCTGGACAGGCGAGGAGGTTCCAGGTGAATCCTACCCCACCCATCACAACCCCTTTGGTTCAGCCTTACTACACTTTCAGGTCCTGCAGGTGAATACCTAACAACTAAAGCAGCAATCTAAAATCTGTCAGTGTGTCTTGCTGCCAAGGGGTTTGTTGTAGGTTTACTCCTCCTCAACACGTTACTTTCCAAAACAGATACAAACAAACAAACAAATAAACAAAAAGGAATTTTAAAAACAATTATAACACCAAAATATCTGTTTAGAACAGTACTGCCCATGCCCTGGACAAATTGTTAAGAGCAATTCAGCATTCTTATAATTAATCCACAACAAAATAAGCTATAAGATGCCACAAATGAAGGCATAATTGGCCATACAGAGGCAACACTACCATGAATGTTGTTTGGCAAAAAAAAAAAAAAAAAAAAAAAAAAAAAAAAAAAAAAAAAAAAAAAAAAAAAAAAAAAAAAAAAAAAAAAAAAAAAAAAAAAAAAAAAAAAGCAGATACATAATTGATCCAAAGTAGAGGTTCAGAACTGCCCGGCACTGCTGGGGTCACACTGCAGGAGACGGACTATGGACGGATCACTCTTGGCGCCTCGGATGAACTCTTCCAGAGAGAGCTTTCCTAGAAAAGAAACATGGTTACTTACAGCACGTGGTGGGTTGCAGCACACCTGTTAAACCCCTGCACAAGCATGATGGAAGGAAGCTGGGGAAGCCAGGAAAATTCCTGGGAAAGCAACGCTGCAAGGTGAAGACCTGACTGCCTACCCCCTGTTGGCCCGCAGATCGTCCCACGTGCCGGGACACCGCAGCCACCCCTGCGGGTGCCTACCGTCACGGTTGGTGTCCATCTGGCGGAAGATCTTCTCGGTCCTCTTCTCTGGGGTTGACTCATCTTCTGGCATCTTCATTACAGAAGAAACCATCTTATAGATTGCCTGCATGATAGACACGAGCAAAAAGCTGATAAGAAGCACATTATCTTGATGCAAGGGTATGGTGATCTTCTTGTGACAGAAACAATGAGAAAATATCTTTGGAGCAGCAGCAGGACCTGCTCTTTGGATGCTGAAGGGCATTGGGTGGCACCAGTACATGCAGCTTCCCTCTTCAGTAAGACACTATTTAAGAAATACTGTGTTTCTTTATTTAGTCATGACCAAACACCACCTGGGTCTGGACTAAGGTTACATTTTTCCTTATTAAAGCAGTTTTTGGACAAATGTATCATTTGTACAATATGTTGGGCAATGGCAACTTCCAGACCCTGGAGGAACAGCCAGACCACCAAGGTCTTGTCCTGTGCTGTGATGAATCTCCATGCTTTGGGCACACAGGCTTCATCCTCACCACACCTGTCTCCTCACCCTGCCTTTGCTTCTCCCCCATCTCCTTTGTCTCCCTCCCTGTAAGCATCCTGTCTGTAGGGAGAGCAGTGACTCCTTGTCACAGATAACAAAGACTGGACCATCAAGGAGGTGGCCTTTTCATGGGAGGTTGGTGTGTGTGCACAGCTCAAAACACCTTCCACAATATTCTCCACAGAGACCAGATGTTCTGGCCTACAGAGCACCACTGCCACCCATACCTAGTCTCTGCACAGACAAATGCATTAGCCACCTTTGCTACTAGCTTCCCTGAAAGAGGGTTAATGTTAATTTTAAAGTAAGGATGAGGATCTGTCTCTGCACTGGTTATCCAAACATTGCTGGCAAACATAAGCATGCAGCACCAGTAAACACCAGGGCTTCGTGTTAGGTGTCTGCAGGGCCACACCTGGGAGAGCAGCAGCACTCAGAGGGCTGCAGGGTGGTGGCCTTGAGGGTTCCTCCCAGCCATGTGGAGGGGCAGCACATCCCAGTCCAAGGCAGCATTACCCTGGTCCAACTGGCCCCTTCTGCTGCCCACTGCAACTCACTGGCTGTCACCTGCTGTCACCTGATTGCTTTTGTTATTTCTTCCTTTCCTTCTGCTTTGGGAGTGGGGGGTCCTTTGTGCAAGTCAAGATTTCTCATTGGGTTACCCCTCTCCCCTCTTTCCCTTCACAAAGTCACTCTGCCTAGCAGCTCAGATCATCTGGCTCAGGATCCCCAAGGACTGGCTCCAGGAATGTAACAGCACAGATGGAGGATGCCACTAAGCAGCACAGACATTTTACACTCAGACTAGGGAGCAGCCGCTTCCTTGGACATCTTGCTGGCTTTTCCTCTGCCAGCAGCTCACCCCTCACGTCTCCAAGGAGAATTAGTGTTCCACAGTACTGGGCAGAGCCTCAGTAGAGGCAGGGATGCTGTTCACACAACCATGACACCCCAATACCAGGAGCACAGAAGAAAGGATGAACATACAAGAACGTAAACACAGGGATGAGGGAACTGGGGGAAGGAGGCAATAGGGAAAGAAAAAAAATGGAGAGGGTGGACAATAAGAATTTAGACCTTGCTCATCCTCATCAGCATGCAAGGCTTGCCAGGGTCAGAGCAGAGATGAGGCTGATAAATCTGCCAGTGTTTAAGCATTTGAAGCTGTCTGGCTTTTGTCTGGGGTAGGAAGAGAGGTGGAGGGGTCACTCCCTCTCTCTGGGTGAAAGGATGCCAAAGCAGAGAATCTGCATTGAAAGTGTGGGAGGAATGCCCCAGACTGGGAGTGAGGGCATGTTTACCCTGATCAAAGTAACCATAGTAAGAATATGCAGATTTTTAGGACAAAAAAAGCACTTCAGGATGACTTCATCCTACAGGGTCCTTTTCACAGAGGCGTGTGAAGGGAATAACAGATGAGATATTCTAGGAAAGCCAGATGGGAATAACATAGTGAGCGTTCTTTTCATGCTGAAAATGGTTACTCTGGACAAATTCTTATGTCCTTACTCAGAAGTTCATTGGGAAGTTTTCCCAAAGTAAAAGCCAGCTAAAGCTGATTAAGAATCTTGAGACATACCCCTTATTAATTCAGTGCAGCTACACAAAACTCTTTATTGTATGTTTGAAAGAGCAAGCTCTGAAAGGAATTTGGTTTCATGCAATAATTACATAGAGCTGGGCTGTTCTAACCCTGGGCTAGGACCCGTGACTGAGAGGCTGCAGGGGTCCCACTCCACATGGAGTGCAACTGCTCAGCCTCCCAGAACCTGGGCTGAAATCCCAGGTGATATTCAGTGGCATTCTGCACTGGAAGTTGATACCTGTCAGCAGTCTCTCGAGTCAGGGCAGCTTAAATAAGTGAATTTCTGTCAGGAGTGCTCCTTACAGCACCTTGGCACCCCTGAGTGCCACCAGGAAGCTGTACCCTCCAGAGCCCTGTGTATGTCACTGGAGCAAGCACAGGCTCCAGCCTCATCTGCTGCCCTGCTGAACTCTCTCCTTTGATTTTCCAGCTCCATCTGGTTGAGCAGCAATGGGTGATTTTAGGGCAAATCTCATCCCTTTGCCCATTCACACAGGTTTTGCTCCCAGTTGCTGGCTGCCACTGCTGCACTCAGGCCAGAGGCTTTGGTGATGGCTGCATCTTCCAGGTATGCTTGGCAAACTGTCCAAAAGCTCATTATGGTGATGGCTTCTGGCATTGCAATGGCAGCAGCAATGACAGCACAAATTTTCAGTTGGTCCTTTTTACTATGTTGAAATAAGCTCTAATGGCTAGAAGTCCCATGAAGTGAATGACTGGCCTGAAAAAAAATTGTTTTCTTCTCAGTCTCATGGAGATTTTTGACACTGTCTTTACAGAGCCCTATCAGCTTTTGCTTCTTCCCATGCCAGCTTCTGTTTCTTCCTAGCTTGAAAAGAAGCTATCCCAGCAAGTGAAACGTGCGTGCTCTGTTTTTATTAAACTGAAAGTATTATTCTTGTCTCTGCCCAGTATTCTTAAAATGTCTTTTGAGTCCATACAGTGAAAAAATGTATCCTTAGAACAAGGTTTCCATCTCTCATTTGAACTCTTATTTTAAGAGACTAGCCAAATATGTCCTGCTTCAGCAAGAGGAACAAAACTCCTAACTGGTTTGCAGCTATTTTTGAGTGGACTGGGCTATTTAGATTATAGGTAAACATATGGGGGACATGAAAAGCCTGAGACATGAATCTGAGAGGAGCTGTGACAAGGTCTGTCAAGAGGGCAGGCTGTGAAGCCTCTTCCCACAGTAGCCTGCAGATGTGCTATGCCTGGTGAATGTAGCAGTATCCCAGGGACTTTCTTTTTTGATGTTCTACAATTGTCAGGCACCACTAAAGACCTTCAGCTTCCAAACTGTGCAGGTGGCTCCATGTGGATCTCTAAGCAGGGTTTTTTGGTGACTGCCCTAGGGATGCTCATGGACAGGCATGGTGAGTGCACTGGGCTGTGCCTGTGTGGTTAAGGGCATGACAGTGCACAGAGCTCAAAGGAAGGCACGTGCTTTGCCATCTAGCAAGGAAAACAGGCCTGAGACAGTTATGGATGGACCATCACCTTCACCTCCTTGGCAGCTGGCCAGGCACAAGGGCTCCCATGGGACATCTTAACCAGCAGCTCTGCTGTTCCAGTGCTGCCGTACAACTGTTACTTCAATCTCTTAATGCAATGCTGGGCAAAAGTGCAATGCCTGCATTGCCTGCAGTGCTGTTAGATTAGGCAAGAGCAATGGAAAGAAAATGCAAAGAAGTACCAGCATAACAGTGAAAATCACTGCAGAATGAGGGATTTCAAAGCACAAAAAAAAGCAGACTAAAAAAGAAGAAACATATGTGTTGCCCTTATGCCATTTAAAATACAGTAATCCCACAGGGACAGTATTTTTCTGTTAAACTAAGACTTTTAGACTAAAGGTGTTTATTTTAGTGTTCACTCTGATGTATTGTCTCAGGCAAAAATCCCAATGAAAACATAATCCTACTCTATCAATTTGCTAGATAAGGGACTGGCATTAGGTTCCTTTGAGACATAAAGATATGTCAGAGTTCTGATTTTCATTCTCAGAAAAATTGTGATGGCTGAGGGCCCCCAGGAAGACATTTGATACAGAATCTTGTCATTCCATATAATAAAATAATAATCTTTCATAAATGAAAGTGATAGTTGTTTGCTGGCTTTTTGTATCTAATCACTTTACATCAAAGGAACTTCTCATCAAAGCATGAAAATATGCTCATCTACTTCAGTTTCAGATATCAGCTGAACATGTTTCCAGAGACTACACAACAAATCCCATCCCACTGGGA